TAGGAACTTGAGGTTATTCTCTCTACTCTAGCCAGTGAAGTATAAAAAAATTGCCACACACCTCTGCTTATGTCTTCCTTAAACAGAGTACAGGTTTATTTCCACCCACATTTTGCTGCCTTAACTGGGTACATAATTCAAGTTGCTACTGTCTCTAGTGTAAGTGGATTGGTATTAAAGTGCTTGCATCTGTATAGTTAATTGGATACACTTGCATTCTGCAGATGCAGACATTATACTTTTACTAGTATAAGTGATTGGAAACTGGCTATACCCATAACAGAATGTGTAGACTGGTTTTAAAAATGGTGGAATCTGGTCTAAGATTTGCACCCCCCTCCACCAAAGGGCAAACTTGTTTGCTACCAACCTAAACTATGCTGCTTCCATAAAACCACGTAAATTTTATTCTTCCTCAGGCTTTTTGAATGTCTGTATCAAGCCTAACTGTTCAAGGGAATAATAGTTACTGGTGTTATACTATACCTGCTGGGCTTTGGGAGTGGGGAAGGAGATCAAAAGCAGTGTAATAGTTATGGGGAATTTGCATTATTTAGATTGCAGCCCAATTATTAAATGAGAAGTAGCTGATTTTAAATTCATAGGGAAACATCATGAATCCGGCTTATTCTACGGGGCAATCCTTTATCTTGCATATAATACGCTACCGATTCTCTCACTGTTCATGTGAAGCTGCTTTGTCACTTTGATAGTAACTGAATATTTTTGGGCATGCCTACACGAGACACTTAATGCACAGAAGCCAAATTCTACAGCACATTAGAACAACGGGCAAAGCCTGAGTTAATGCGTTTAATATGCAGTAGATTTAGTCTAATGCACAGTAGTGTTACTTAAAAAAAAAAAAAAAAATCATCTACACTAAGGTGCAGTAGGGCTGATTGTGGTGCATTTAAGTTGGTACCTATCATTACAGGTACTAAACTTAATGCGCTGTAATTACAGCATATTAATAAACATGTGGACATGCCTATTGTGATTTAATGCACTTACCGTAATTCATGAAATAAGACTGACTTAGTGAGGGGGGTGGAAATTGGTTGAAAAAGAATATAGTTTTAGTTTTGTGACAGGTGCCTGTAGCATTGGGCTCACTGCTGTCTTTCTCCTTTTCTAGAAAAGTCTGCTTGCCTTACGGCAGCTGATGCCCAATGCTCAGAGCTTTATCCAGCAGTGCATGCAGCAGCAGTCTCCAGCCCAAGAAGCTGTGTCTACCCAGATCTCTTCAGCAACGACTTCCACTGTTCCAGTGACAACATCAGCTGTGGCAACGACCTGTCCTCAGCCCACAAAATCAGTCCTTTCCTCCACAGTGGTCACAACCTCTCAAGCTGTAAAACCAGTTCTATCCGCTGCAGTGGTGAGAGCACCACCAACAGTTTCACTCCAGACTGTGAAACCAGTCCTTGCTTCTGCTCCAGTGACAGCCACTCTTCAACCTGCAAATCCAATTTTTACCTCTACAGTAGCAACGACACCACTCACAACTATCCATGTTGTGAAGCCAGTCTTTACCTCTTCAGTCGCAATGAACTCGCTTCAGGCTGTGAAGCCAACTTTAGTATCAACGTTGAAGCCGGTCTTGGCCTCTACAGTGGCAACTACAGCAACAACCTCTCTTCAGTCTGTGAAACCAGTCATTGGGACTCCTATTAGTATTAAAATTACACAACCCAACTCTCTTCTTGCTCATTCAGGCAGTACTCAGCAGGCAATTAAAGTGAAACAGCTGGTAAGATGAATTTGTTTTCTAATGTCTCTCGATCAAAAAGCATAGATAATACCTAAACAAAGACTTTAGAGCTTAAGAATATGTTCTTCCATGAGTTAATAGGTTACTTAAATTTTATCTAAGGTGCTCTTCTACTGTGCTTGACCAATGCAATATGTATTCATTTATATGTATGAATACATATTTATATTTCCTTTCTCAGCCTGAGGCTCATGGTTTACAGCCTTTTTAATAAGTGAGGAAAAGATCAAACGTATTGGTGAAGGAAACTTTCCAATACCAAACGTAATGGGTCACAAGGCTTGGGTGCCCAGCAGTTGGAGTGAATGAGACTGCTGAATGTTTGTTTTAACATCTGATCTTGCACATGTCTAGTAACCTTATGTCAGACCAAGTGGCATTACTGATATTTGGAGAAATGAGCTCTTGACTTCCAATTCAGGGACAGCTGGGGTTTTTCTTATTGCAAGGCCAAAAATAATTACTGCTGGGGTTTTTTATTTAATCTTGTGTAAATGTTTCTGGTGTTTTCCATAGTATAGCTAAATAAATTTACAGAGACTAAAGCATAAAGTAATGAAAAGAAACATCAATTATTAAAGATGACCACATAGTAACACTATAGAGAGCTTTTATTTAATCCGAACCTTGATAAACATGTGCGTTAGAAATTATTTGTTGTCTTTGGAATATCCATGACAGTGATGTGATTAGAGAAACTTAACAGTCTTTAGTTAAGATCCTCAAGAACATTTTTAGTGATCACTTCTTTTTAGCAAACATGCATTCCTTGTGCCCTTTGGCACAGAGGCATTTAGGGTGGATGGAATTTAATCAGTTTACCCATGCTGAAACAGGTAGGTATTATACTGCATTTAGTCCAGGTAATATAGCAATCACAAGAAATGTAGTCCTTAATTCTTCTTGTTGCAAGAGAAGAGAAGAATTTTAGTTCTGAAACTTTCATATATGACTTACTCTGGGAGACAGACATTCTGAAACATTAGTCATCTACAGTTCATATTGCTTTCTACAGGTTTCAATTTCCTTCCGAAAATTGATCATGTGATATCATTGTTAGTTGAATGCTGTGGATTATATTTGTAGAGGTCTTTTATTCTCCAATTTCCTCTGTCGAAGTGGCTGATCTTCCTTTTTGTAGGAAGATGACAACATGGGCTAACATGCAATGTAAAAATAATGCTTTAAGAGAGCAAGTGAAACCTGCCTTGACACCCACTTTGCTTTACTCAGCATACCAAGTTAAGTCTGCTAAGGGGAAAAAGTACTAAAATATGTAGTGGACTGGATGCTTATAGCATGTTGATTTTTAAATTGTAAAGTATATTTTAGCCAGCTTTCCTGATACCATCTTAAGCCAACTTGGAAATGTTACCATTGCTATTTTAGAGGACTAAATTTGAAGCTCTAATGCTAAGAAAACGTAGCCTTTGGGCTGTGTAAGGACTGGAGAGCAGCTTATGTTGGCTCTGCAGCAAGTTAATGAATCCAGAGGAAAAGCTGGCCAACTGTGCAAGTAAAAAGGAGAACTCGGCTCCTGTGTTAGGGAGATGAGAAGAGGGTGGAGCATGGTGTCCCAGAGATTTTGTCCACTGCTGCCTACCTCAGCTCTTCTTCTTTCAAACGTTAACGTTTTTTTCTGCATAATGCCTTCAGAAATACAATATAATCCTCACTGCTTGTGTTCGGCTGATACTATCCCTTCTTTATTGATGATTTTTTAAAAATAAACTGGGCTTGAAGATAAGGGGTTGAATTATTTTCCCCAGGTCACCAAAGGAGTTAGTGTTACAGCCAGCACTAAATTTTGAGTTTGTTTGTCCAGAACTTTTCTACCACTCCATTTCCCCCTGACACCTCACCCCCCTCCCAGTCAGTGCTTTATAGAGCAGGAATTCATCTCTCAAAATGCATGGATTTTCCTACAATTGCAGAGGCAAAGGGAGAAACATGTAATCTCTGCAGGGATTCTGCATTCACCCTGTCCCCCCCCCCCCCAGGTCACCAGTTGTTCCATTGTCTCACCATCTGCTGTAGAAAGCTTCTCTAGGTTATCTGCAGTTTTGGGGGGAGAGAACTCCCTGTAGACTGGGGATTCCCAAGTCTTCCTCCCCAAATGTCTGCTTAAAAAGGGCAAGCCTGGCTGGAAGGGCTTGTGGGCCATACTTTGGGAATGCCTGCTTTGAACCTTGTAGTGCTTTAAGGTTTTAAAGCAAGGAGCCATCATGCCTGCCTTGGGCATCTACCCAACAGAAACAGGGACATGCCTTCAGACTTAACAGTTAAGTGTGCCAGAAGGCAATGCTTTCATATCAAAAGCGGTGGGAAGCAGCTTAAAGTGTAACGGGTCCTTTTCCTCAGCACTATTTCAGAAGAAGGCTCTTGTGTGATTGTGAATGTAAGCAAGCTTTTTTTATTAAACTATTGTGTTTAGATGCAGCAAGCCCTCTTGTTTTGGGTGGTGACTCCTGAGGAAGCAGGAAGATTCCAAAGGGCTCCCTTCTGCTGATTCCTTGCAACTAGCTCATTTAAGGTTGTTGGTATATAAAGAAGCCTCACTTAGGAGGCTTGATCTGTCTTTCCTGATACTGCTTTGACTTCTTGCAGACTCCAGAAAAAGTTCTCCTTTACCAGCCTCTGGCTTCTAGCAGAGCCATGCATTACTGAAGCTAGGCAGGTGAGGTTCTTTGCATAGATGTGATTTATCTTTTATTAGATCAAATGAGTAGCTGGAAAAATGTTCTTTGCAAGCTTTCGTGTGCAGTCACCATTCTTCAGGCATAGAGAATCTCTGATGTTCTCTGTTCTGTTACTGAAGCTTGGACTTTGAAGTTTAATGTATAGAAAAGCCCTTCCTATCATTGGTTCTGGCAAGTGAGACCTACTCTTTTGACATGAAGAACAAGGTTCTTGTACTGTGTATTCCTCCTGCTTGTCCATAGGCTTAGCAAGTTAGTATATTATGTACAAGCTTCCTTTGCCAACCACGGGGGTTGGGTTCCTGAAAGTTCCTGTAGTTGGCAAAACTGGCAGGGTTGGGGGAGCAGGGTCTGTGGGTGGGGGATGAGGAGCACCAGTAAGGCTATAGTGGGGTGAGTGAGAGGCGCAAGCAGAGCCAGGGGGGTCGTGGGGGTATTTTCCAACTGTACCTCCCCCCCACACGTGTCTCTGAAGTGTGGGTATTCAAAACCATGGTTGGCAAGGGAAACCTGTATTGTAGCATTTCTAAACTTCCTCTTTTCAAACAATCTTGCTCCACAGTACCAATAATTCTAGCTAAATATTAATAGAAATATATTCCCAGGTGCAAAAAAGTGTGTGGTCATGTTTAGCTTATGAACCCCTAATATTTATTTACCCTCCATAGGGCTCCTAGAATGAGTAGTGCAAAACGCATACCAAAATTACATACTTATTCATGCAAGTTGGAAAGTGATCGTACAATCAACTGCTTTGACCTCTGTTTGTGGCACATGCCTTTTTAAACTTTCCCAGCTTCCCCCGTTTTAAGCTGGTAACTTTTTTGATTCAAGCACGTCTTCCAGAAATGCATCTAATCTTGATTTTGACAGCATTAAGGGATGACTCATTCACCATTTCCCCGATAGCTTGTTCTCACATCTAATCATATATATAATGCGTGCCTTCTCTCCAGTTGTGGACTTGTCTTCAGCTTCCAGCTGTTGGTACTGGTGGCTGGGTGTTTTTGTTAGTTTTTTCCCCTCCCCTCTACACGCTAAATTAAGGAGCCCTTCAGTCGCTTACATTTTCTCCATATGAAGGTATTGTTGTTTCTCAGTCATCTTGCTAAGCCAAATGCATTTTGAGCTGTAGGTCTTCCTGTGACTCTTGTGCTTTTGTTTGTCACCCTCTTCAGTTTTTCTTTTAAAATAGCAGCACCAGGTTGTGCGCAGTATTCCCGTAGCTGTTTTACCTGTGTTGTACACGCAAGTAAAAGCAACCCCAAACTCCTACCATCTACTCTTCTTGTACATCCAGGGTCACATAATCACTTTCTGCCATGACATTGCACTGGGAGCTCATGTTGGGCTTGTTATCTCTCACCTCTTTAATCCTTTTCAGAACTATCATTTTTCAGAGCGCATAGAAACAAAGAACACAGGCTAGAACTTCTTTATATTTTAATACAGCCATTTGGCTGCAGTTGTTTAGATGGTTTCAGCATACCAAGATATCCAGATGACTGTGCTATTGACCTGACCTGCCCTGCCCATTTTACCACTTGGTCAGTCTTGTTTCTGCTCATTTTTCAAGGTTTTTAAGGCCCTGCTCGATTTTTTTTTTTTTTTTTTTTTTTTTTTTTTTAAAGCCTTGGCTGGAATGATCTGGCTAGAAAATGGTCCTGCTTTGAGCAGGGGGTTGGAATAGATGACCTCTTGAGGTCCATTCCAACCCTAACTTTTCTATGACTTTTTATCATGCTTTATAATAAAGCAATTCAACTGCTTCAGGTTCAAGTTAGTCAAAGTTGCTTGGAAGCAGTCCCTTATTTAAGCCCTCTCTTCCAGCATCCAGTATTGCAGCTGTTTCTGTTGAGGTGGTCTGTGCCTTACCTCTTCAGATCATCGCTTGTCATCTGCAGCTTATGCTCTGCTGCTGCCTGCATTCTGTCTATCAGGGCTTGAAGAAACTCGCCCTTTGTCTCATCTTGAAGCCTTGCTACTGCTGGGGAAAAAGGTTAGCTCCTTATAGAGCTAATCCTTTTAATTGCAGTCCTTTTTTCTAGCAGGGATCCTTTTGAAGTGTCTTAATAAATACAATACAGTATATTACTTGAATCCAAGACAAGGTCCAGCCTGGGTCTGGGCTCAGGGCTGAAGACAGAGCTGAGCCACTGCCTGCACTGGTCCAGAATGGCTCATTTGCCAGGGAAGGTGGAATGCAACCAGAGGAAGAGCAGGGGAGACCTGCAGCATGCCCTCGTGTCTGTGCCTGTGCCCTCCTCCTTACCTTCTTGG